CGCGTTCTCTCTCTCGCGCTCTCTCACTCTCGCGTTCTCTCTCTCTCTCTCTCTCTCTCTCCTCTTTCGTTCTTCCCCCGGTTCTGGCAGCTTCGTGTTCGCGTCTTCCAATTCCGTGGAACCGTCGAGCCCCGTCATGGCCGAGCGGCCCGAGTTGTTACGGATTCCTGCATAATTTCTTCCAGAATCGAGCACGAACGAGAGAGGAACGGGATCGACGCGGTCGGCCCTTCCTAGACTACGGACATCTTAATTGTTCCGACCGTTTCGGGTCCTCTCGACGAGGCTGTGCTGTCTGGCCTTGTCCGAGTCGTTACGTCTCCGTGACGTTGCAAGAAAAGAAACGGACGGTGCAACCCCGTCGTTTTTCTTCGGGTCTTTTCACCGCGTAACGGTGAAAACGTTCGGGTCGGAACCGTCTCGTCGATGTTCCAAGGAAAAGTGAAGCTTTGTTATTCATTGTGCAAGGTGTCCCAAAATTGTGGCGCGTCTGGAAATTGAGGGGTTGTTCGTCAGGTCATTCGAAGTAACATTTCGCCACGATTTTTGCCGGTTTACAGCGACTGAATTACGCCGACACCGGGGATTCATCGATATTGTTTATACAGGGTGTCCCAAAATTATTATATTATTATATTATAGTATTACATTATTACACTATTATATTATTATATTATTATAGTATTACATTATCATATTATTACATTATTACATTATTATGTTATTATATTATAGTATTACATTATTGCATTATTACATTATTACATTATTATATTATTATATTATTATATTACAGTATTACATTATTATACCATTATATTTAATATTATTATATTTTTATAGTGTTATATTATTATATTTAAAATTTCAATATGCCCATAATTTACCAAGGAAACCTATAGAAAATGCATTTCTTAAATGTTCGTTCCAGGTTCAAATAAAAAAGTTAAAAAACAAGCGCAGAATTAAAAAAAGAAAAGATACGTTAGTCATTGTACCGTAAACTAGCCCCTATAACACTGAAAAAGAAAAGATTCAAATCAATTAAACCAGTTAAAAAAAAAAGTTATTGCATCTTAAAAAAAATGGGCGAACACTTTTTGCCACGGGTTGTACGCGAAGATCGTTATAGCTCGATTTTCTTCATAAATATTATAAATTAAATAATGTGGCTCTCGCGTGTAACCATGCACTAAATAAACATTGTAAGGACTAATAGCGAAGGCAAACAAATGTTAAGCCACGAAGAGAGCAAATTACAGTTGCAATTAGAACCTGCGCATAAAGATCGAATATATCAGGTGTCTGTCTTTTGTAATGATAACACGATAACGTATTTGATTTACGATATATGCAGAGAGGCATTAGGCCAGTCGCGGAAATAACTGCCGCCCGGTCTTTTAACTGTCTCACTTATGGAACACCCTGTATATTAGTAGGCGATGTCGTACAACGGTAATCGGCACTAAACTGTCCGTTAATAGCTGACGACGACGACGACGACAATATTATATGGAAGTATGCGTGTAACATTCGCTGATCCGAGGCGGTTAAATTATTCCATTCTGTTTAAACGCATGCAAATATATTCAGGCGGATCGTAAATTCTTTGGAAATTCGTTCTATTAACTTCCACCGGAACTTGTCCCAATTTGTACAAATGATTAGGCGTGATATACTGATGGAAAGTAGCCGAGTATGCATATGGGAATGCCACTTCGTTACTCGCGTATGCCATGCTTACGTTTATTTTTTATTTTTTTTGCGACGTTACAAACCACCGTCGACGTTGAACTAATTTTAGAAAATGTTCAACCGTACCGAATATGGAACGCTGGTGACGAGTGCAATATTTTCGAAAACGAACAAACAAACGAACTTGTTCTTTCAGCTTCTTTTTTCCTTTGAAGCATTTTCGTTACGATCTCACATTTAATGTACTATTAAACAAAAATTGAATTTTTAAACAAGTGACTAATTGTCACTTATAGAAAACGGAAAGAATATTTTTCCTCTTATTCGAGAAATTCTTTGATTGTATAATCATGTTTCACATGAAATTATATAATGTATATTTATTTATAATTATATAAATTATTTGCAATCGTCGCGTATCTATTAGTATATTCTGTTTGAAAAAAGAAAGAGATACTTTCCTGTCCTAATTACTTGAAGGATAGAAGCTTCAGGAACAGTAATATCTTTTCTTCAGAAAGAAACATGGGTGTACCGAAATTGTGGCATTTCCGGGAAGCGAGAGGGATCCTGAGGTCATTTCAAGAAACTTTTTCCTTTGCGAAAATGCGATCCGTGGTTTCGTTTACGAGTTATTAATGAAAAACAGTGACCAATGAGAGGCGAGAGCACGGCTGGCGCGAGGCGGCTGAGCGAACGAGCGGACGGAGCCCCGTACCGCTGATTGGCTCGGCCGCTTCGCGTCGCTCGCCGCGCCCACCGCGCGCGTCGCTCATTGGTCACTGTTTTTCGCTAATAACTCGTAAACGAAGCCTCGTAGAACATTTTCGCTAAGGAAAAAGTTGTTCCAAATCACGTCAGGAACCCCTCATTTCCCAGAAATACCATAATTTCGGGACACCTAGTATATTATTCCAGAAAAGATCAGAACGTATTTCTCATTTCTTTATATCGTTAAAATCTTTGGTACACAATCCGGTCCTCCGAATATCTCCGATATTTTTAGTGTTTTAAAAATGCTCGTCCCCAGAGGGTTAATTTATTATTATTAATTCGTTGCGCACGTCCATCGGTAACGCAACAAGGCGCGTCATTAAATGCGGTCCAAAAGACCTCTCGGTGGGTTTCTAGCTGATTTCCTAGCCTTCCGGCTAGGAAAGTGTCGTTTCACGGCGCACCATGAAGGGTTAGGCGCGCACTGGGTGTATCGAACGAGGACGAGACTCGTCTCGGCACCGCCGTGTTTGCGGTCGACAGGTTCTTTCCTTCGGACGACGACGGTTGTTCTTTCGACTCGCGGCGTATTGTAGTCGGTGCGTTCGAGCGCGCTGGACGAGATGGAACACAGCGGATATCAGGAAGGAAGGCAGCAGGCGGGCAGGAAGGAAGGAGGGATGGAGGGCGGGGAGAGGGGAAACGAACGGGCGAAGAAAGGACAGACGCGCGCGGCTCTCAGAAGTAAATGAAAAGCTGCGAGAGAAAGGTGCAGGTCGCGGATTGTAAGAGTGGGGGGGGGTGGAAACATAAGGGAGGGTTAAATCTCGGAATGCCGAGACTAACAGAGGGGTGAGGGGCGATGCGAGGGGGACTGGAAAAGGGAGAGATAACGCTCCTTGCCGCAGCCGACGACCCTTCACTACCCTTTGTTTCGCGAAGGTGCTGCCGTCGCGATTCGTCGTACGGTTTATCATTCGCAGCTTTGACGCGCGCTGATTGGTTCTGCGACAAGAATATCCAGCCCGATCTGACGCGATCTGATCCGATCCGATCCGATTCGAACCGATCCGACTGTAACACCTGGTAAAAATTATTCGAACGCACCGTTCAAAATGCAATAACTTTGATAAAACTTGAGTGAACGATTTGATTATTTTTTTAATGTTAGTGGGGATAGTATAGTGAACTCACTGTACAATGATCAATATACTGCTTTTAAATTTTGCTTTAATTTGATTTAATAGATTTAATAGATTTAATGGATTTAATAGATTTGATAAATTTGACAAATTTGACAAATTTGATAAATTTGATTTAATTCATAAATTAACTAATAAATTTGATTTACTAGAATCTTTTTGATTTAATAGATATAATAGATTTATTTATTTAACAATTTTGGTCCGAATTTATCCAATAAATTTTGCATAATATCTTCATCATGAGTCTAACACGAATTGTCATATCGCAAGGGGTTAAATTGTTTTCTTAGATAAAAATAAGTAAAACATTTGAACGTACATTTTTATCGTTTTTGTTTTCTTTTTATTCCAAGTAACAGCAAAATTAAGGAAAGCATTTAAAATCGACTGTACAGAATGAACCAGTGCTTCTAATCTTTTATTAAAAAGAATTCGGGTCATCCGGTCCAGTTTGAAAAAATCTTTTGTTGCGTTTTGTTTTAAAAAAGGTGTTCGAATACTTTTTTTTGTCATGGTCGGTGGACTCGAGTCCACGACTCAAGTATAACCTCGACTCGACACCTTTCACCCTTTCCGCGACCCTTTTCTTCCCACTCCCTTTTTTGTTTCCGTATCCCTTTGCTGCTTGCCCTTCCGTCGTTCACGGGCTCCGGGGCATCCGCGAGCGGGGAACGCGTCACGCTCCGTCGCGTTTCTTCGATTCCGCTCGAGCAAAAAGATGCTCTTTACTGCCGGTTGGCGCACGCGATCATCCGGCATGCGTCGCGCCGCGCCGCGGGAACGGCCCTTTTAACGCAGCAATGGAGACGCGAATCGGCCGTCTACGCAACTACGCATTCAGTCGCCGTGCTGCTTTTCAATCCGTCGCCACCGTCGCGTCGCGTGCAGATTTATTATGATTAGAACGCTGATCGTCCCATAAAATACAATTTTCCCGGGTTAATTTTCAAAGAACGGAAAAGGCGGGTGTTCTCTCTGTAAACGATGCAGTTTTATCGTTCCTCATCCTTCTTTTCATTTACAACGTTCCGTGTACAGGGTGTCGCATAATTATGTTAACACTCGGGAGGAGATGATTCCTCAGATCATTTGAAGTAACTTTCTCCTTAGCGAAAATTCTCTCCGAGGCTTCGTTTACGAGTTAGTAACGAAAAACGCTGACCAATGAGAGGCAAGCGCGAATGGCGCGCGGCGGCCGAGCCAATGAGCGGCCGAAGCTCAGTACCGCTGATTGGCTCGGCCGCTTCGCGTCGCTCGCCGCGCTCGCCGAGCGCGCCGCACATTGGTCGACGTCCAATTTGTCCATTTTTGCGTACAATAATAACAATGAAAGTAAAATAATAACAATAATATTAATAATAATAATAATAATGGTTCTCGTTTTACCTTTGAATTTTTTGTCTTGTTGCAGTCAGTTGTCTTGTTTGCGTACTATAATAACAATAAAAGTAAAATAATAACAATAACAATAATAATAATAATAATAATGGTTCTCGTTTTACCTTTGAATTTTTTGTCTTATTTCAGGTAAGTACGAGCTCGACGACGATGATCGGCAACACGTACCAACAGAGCGACCATCTGTGGTATTTACGGTAAAAAGAGAGATTTCTTCGCTTTCCCTTATTTGTCCAACGATTTCGAAACTTGCGGTGACACGGATAATCGCGTTGGCGTTTCGGCGATAACAACCGAAATCGCATCGGCAAACATGGTGGCCATCCCCACCTCGGTGGCCTTCGAGATCGCGACCGATCAATTTTAGCCGCTGTTTTCACTTTCGGGTGGCTTCGTACGAAAGCTCGGAAAATTCTGAAATATATTTCGTAACCAGCGTTAACACATTAATTTAATTGACTCGAAAAATTCATGCGATATCAAAGTCATTTAATCAACGAAACCGAAACTAGAAAGTGAACATTCACCGTAGAAAATATATAAATATTCAGCTATTTTGTATTCTACAGATCCTAGTAACATTCAGTTTCCTCGATATGTTACAATAAAAATGAATTTCAAAGATCCGGATAAAAATTAATGTCGCCCATATATGACTCACGTGGCATTCATCCGGTTGATTCGACCGTCAAGGTTATGTCATTCAACGTCAAAAGTATCGATGAAAGAAGCTTTAACGTCTTCGGTTGTTTCCGTTGATTTATTTTTCCATTGGCGCGGCAAAGAGGATTCGCGACACGCTCGGATCGAATAGCATTTCTATGTAAGTCTATCTCGTTCCGCCGGCGAAATAGTCCGGCAATGTCGTTCCAGCGCCGCCTTAACGACGCGTTGCGCGACAAAGAGACTCGGCCAGCGTCGACGTAACGTCGATTCCGTGTGAGAGGTTCGAACGACTCGTTCGCGGACGCGTCGACTCGGACCGCACGAAAGTGCACTTACGCTTCATTTTTCACCCCTTAACGAGCAACAGCGGTCCACTAATATCGCGCGGATGTCGTAAATTTAATGGTCCCGTTCCGACAGCTTCTCTCTTTACCGGCGGCCATTATTCTCCGACAGGAAGACTTTTAACGTATCAAAACGGGGCGACCGGAGCGCCTCCTGTACAAACAGCCGGTCGTAATTTTTCGGTAGCCCCAGATAACCTGCACGTCGCGAGTGTCGCGTTTCAAGATCTCCTTCAGGAATTCGATCACCGGTCTCTCCTTGACTTTCCTTGTCGAAAATAAGCACTCGGGCCTTATCGCGTCGCGCCGCAGCAGATACGGGATATCTACGTTATCTAAATGGTCCAGGATCGTCGCGAGAAATACGATTCTGTCCCGGCCATAATCGAAAACTGCTCTTCACGTGCACGTATACAGGGTGTCCCAAAAATGTCTCGCAATCCGAAAGTGGCAGGTTTCTCGGGTCATTCGAAGCAACTTTTTCGTTTACAAACATTTTCTCCGAGGCACCGTTAAGGAGTTATTAACAAAAAACAGTGACCAATAAGAATCGAGCTCGTCTAGCACTATAGGCGGCCAAGCGAGCCAATCAGCGGAACCGCGGCTTCGTTCACTCGTTGACTCGGCCGCCTCGCGCCATCCGAGCTCAGCCGGCGCGAGGCGACCGAGCCAATGAGCGGAACTGGGCTTCGCGCGCTGGTTGGCTGGGCCGCCTCGCGTCAGCCGTACTCGATTCTTATTGGTCACTGTTTGTTCGTTGATAACTCGTTAACGGTGCCTTGGAGAACATTTTTATAAAGGAAGAAGTTGCTTCAAATGATCCGAGGAACCCGCCATTTCCGGGATGGCGAGACATTTTTGGGACACCCTGTAGAACGCGATCCTTAACGTCCGCGAGGCATGCTGCGACGCACGCAACGCAACCGACGCGAGATCTCGCGCGAGAAAATTATCCGACGCTGGATATTACGCTGCTCGTTCGCTGGTCGTTCGATATACTTATCATTAAATCTTGTATTATGCTTTTAAGTGAATCTACGCGGCTGTAAAAAAATGCTAAAATTGTGATCAGGTATGTACACGTTTTCTTTCAGTGTCGTTCGAACTTTTAATCTGAGATAGCTTTTCTAACCTACAATGCTTTTATGCGACACGACTTTTAACGCATTTTATTCGTACGTGTTATTTGAAATTGAATAAAAACAACAATTAGAAGAGAGCGCGAGTGCAAAAGCGCGAGAAGAGAGCGCGCGCGCGAGAGAGAGAGAGAGAGAGCGCGAGAGTTCGACTAAACGGTGTCGCAGGAAGATCCTGTTGCGGAAACAACGAATCGCACGATGCTGGAGCAACCCTAATCGACGTAAGAGCACGGGCGAACGGGTTGGATTTTCGAATAGCGGGCAACAATTAGAATTTCATCGGTTTGCCCGTTCGAGGGCGGCGCGGTCGCGGGGCGAGGCATGCACAAAATACGTGCCCGTTCGTTTTCTGCCAGCGTTTCCGCCCGAAAGAGAGGAAAAAAGTGCGCACGGACCTTCGTAATAACAGCTCGGGCCGCATCGGCGAAGATTTAAATGCAGAACCTTCTCGTGCGCGGCTCGCCGCGGTTGCACGCATTACATCGTTCCTACTGTCGCCGATGCAACGACGGTCCCGCCTCCCTCCCACCCTCCCGCACCTCTCTCCGTCTTTCTCTCTATCGTTCTTCCACCTCCTCGCCTTCCTCTCCGATTCTGCCGGTTCACAGGCCCCGTTCTTCGCGGCGCAGGACCGGCGGCCGCCAGCGATGGCCTCGACGCGCTTCGAAACGCGTTCGAGATGCGCTACTACACCTTCAGGGTTGCCATCGAAGCAGCCGTGTCTTAGTTCCGTCCCTGCTCCCGGATCCAGGAAGCCGTAAATTCCTGCGAAGATTTCGTTCGATCGATTCCTGGCGAACGAAACGCCTACTATCTTCTTTTTTTTTAGACGTCATTGGCCAAAATTCAGCGTTGAAATTTTGCACGATCGTAGCGTACGAAAACTCAAAGAATCTGACTCTAACGAAAATTCCGGTCTTTTTTAATTATTAATAACTATATTATTAATAATGAATAATTATGATTATGAATAATAATTATTGTATAATTATTATTATTATTATAGTAATTAGTATAATAATAATAATAATAATAATTATTATTATTATTATAGTAATTAGTATAATAATAATAATAATAATAATTATTATTATTATTATAGTAATAACAATTATTATTATTATTATTATTATAATCTGTAGAGCGCGCGCGACTTCCGTAAGAAGGCGGGAAACGTCGCAGTGGAAAATCGACGTACGTAACACGGGTACGAGAACTCCGCGTTCGACCGGGACGACAACGAGCGATGGTCGAATAATCGACGAAAATGATCGCCGCCCCGGCCACGGCGCCCGTGTCCACCAATTACGAATACAGTCGGCGGAACGATAAATCGTTCGGAAACGCGGAGGGAGAGAGTGCAGTGGCCATCGCTGGCGACTGCGCTCGCCGGTGGTCAGGTATGCGAGGCTCGCAGACGAAAAAAATCAACCGGGATGAAACAAGAAAAAGACGGGAAGAATGGCGAGGAGGCGGACGGGGGAGGGGGCCGAGCGAAAGATCGAGAGAACGGGGGAGAGAGCGAGAGAGAAAGAGAGAGTGTGCGAGAGGGAGAGAGAGCGAGTGTGAGAGAGAGAACACAAGAATAAGAGAGCGCGCGAGAGAGAGAGAGAGCGCGCGAGTGCAAAAGCGCGAGATAGAGAGAGCGCGAGAGTGAGAGAGAAAGAAAGCGCGAGAGAGAGAGAGCGCGAGTGCAAAAGCGCGAGAGAGAGAGAGAGCGCGAGTGCAAAAGCGAGAGAGAGAGAGAGAGCGCGAGTGCAAAAGCGCGAGAGAGAGAGAGCGCGAGTGCAAAAGCGCGAGAGAGAGCGCAAGAGAGAAAGCGCGGGAGAGAGAGAAACGGTTGCAAAAGGTGCGGGTGCGGTGCGCGAGCGAGACCGAGGGACGCAGAGGACGGAAGAAAGGGTGGAAAGGAACGGACTGCATCGAATGCAAGAATGAAAGGACGATTCGACGAGGGAAACGGACGGTGAAGATCGGGACGGGAGCAGTCTAACCCGAACGACCCATCGGGTCTAAACAATCGTACGATCGCCCTTCGAAATATCTCCGACTCCTGGGTACACGTTTATGCGTGTCCGTTCGTCCTACCTGCTCCCGGCTCCCGGCTCCGTTTGTTTGCTCGGACCCGGCGCTGCTTCTTCGACGGACTTTTCTGAAATNCTGCGACGTAATTCTCGAAACGCGAGAGGAGCTCGTTCGCTTGTGCATCATTCCGCGGGCGCGGTCATATTTCTCCTCTCCTCGCGTGCACGGAAAAATTTACATTTTACATACGTCTTCTCTCCCTCCCTCCCTCTCTCTCTCTCTCTCTCTCTCTCTCTCTTTTTCTTCTCCCATCTTCGTCTTTCGAGGCGAGTTCTCACCTTTTAACGACGCCCGCGACTGCTTTATTTTTCGTGCACTCGCCTCGGACGCAGGTTGTTGCGAGTCTTCGACTTGGGAGAAGCGACGAAAATGCTTCGATTTTATGTATACTCGTTCTTAGTTCTGGTTAAGATAGTTCTCGTTCTAGTTAAACAAGATTTTTTAATGTTTCGGGTGACGCAGAAGCTTTTTGATATTTTTCTGATTGCTCCGGAGACTTGTGCACATGGAAGTCTTGTTTTTTCTTCACAGAATGCTGAATCTCAAATGTTAGGTTAAGTATTGCCGCGGTTTCTCAACGAAGGCGAACTTTGACAGAGGGAATAAGTGCTTTTACGCGAATAAATTGACGAGTCAAGCTATAAAATTTTCGCAGTTTTCCCATTTCCGGATTGCGAGATATTTTCGGGACACCCTGTATAGTCCTATCAATTTGGGCGCGTCGGTCACCAGTGGCCCCCACGGCGTCACCGCCAAGTTAAGTGCCGGTCACCGGTGACCCTCGTGGCATTCAACGTGTTAAAAAAGAAAAAGAAAAGAAAAAGAACAACCAGCTAAAGTCTACTCTGGCCGCGGTCCCGTCCCCGTTCCGGTAATTCATGCCGCGAAACAAGGACACCCGTCTCGACGAAACCGCGGCGAATTGCGCTCGAGTTTGCACGCGGCCTCGGCGTAAACGGCGCAACATTCCCCGAGTGTTTAATTCGGAGCCGAAAGCTCCGACCGGGACGGTAGAGAGGGGGGTGAACTCACTGGGAAACCGCAGGATCCGCTAGATTGGATGCCCGCCGCGCGATCCTTCGCGAGCGGAACCGAGCCAGACCGAATTCCCCCCACTCCTCGCCGCGAGCAAGGAAAAAATTTCATTCGCCGTACGCGTCCGAATAATTTCATTCTTCTTCGCTTCCTTCTCTCTTCCCCCACCCCTCCTCCTCCTCGCTGTTTCTTCGCGTCGTTGTAGACAACGGACTGTGCGCGCGTTGTGCAGACAACGAGACAGAAATAAAAGGAGAAGTTTTCGTCGTGTCGGGAGAGAACTGGAATCGCGCGATCGTGGGACGAATTCCGAGCATGGGAGTCCCGCGGAGCCGGGAGAGCGCAACAGCTCGATATTATGTATACGTAAGAGACATTTTTTCGATATTCGGTACGCTTAGCCGAACAAAGTGCTCGTCGGCCGCTTCTGACGCGACACATTTTGCGCGGCCGCATATATAGAGCCGCTGTCTAGTAAAAGGCAAATCGTCCTTGAGCGTCCACGTTCCAGATCGTTGCTGAACGACGGTGGCAGCATAGCGCGCGCGGACAATTTATTATCACCGAGTTGATTCGCCGCTGAATTGTGTTTGATCCGGTTATGCGAATTAACGTTGGATTTGCGGAGCATTGAGATCACTGAGAACAGCTATTTTATGTTGCTTCGTAAACATAACCTTAACCGCAAATACTCTGTAGCATTTTATAAAAGTAATAAAATCTAGCGTTTCATTGCGTGCAATCTTGTAGAAATGAATCTCATGATTTTTTATACGTTTGGTATTGATAATTTGTGACGTAGAAGTGACAGCAATCGCAGTTTTAACCCTTTAACGGTCCAATGCCGCCATGTACATTGCAAAAATATGGAATATTTTGGAACATATTAGAGGGACTATAGTTTATTGTACAACAATTCTGCTATTAACTGGAATGACAGAAAAAAGAAAAACTTTCGTTTTTTAACCCTTTTCATCTGAGCCTAGAAGAAAAATGTAAAAAATGTTATTTGAAACGCAATAACTTCTTGAAAGCTGGACCAACTGACTTGAATGTTTCTTTTTTTCAGATAATAGAGCGATTAGTATACTAGACAATGATCGAAATGTCTTTTTTAAATTTTGCTGTTACTTGTAACGACAAAGAAAAA